ATACCAGTTGGTAAAAGGGGAGTAAAGTATGTTGTGATCACGGTGGATTACTTCACTAAGTGGGTCGAAGCAGAACCATTAGTTGCGATCACGACCAGAAAGCTAAAGGATTTTGTCTTCAAGAACATTGTGTGCCGCTATGGGATTCCTCATACTCTTATCTCGAACAATGGTAAACAATTCGACAACGAGGAATTCAAGTAGTTTTGCGACGAGCTGGGTATTCATAAAAAATTTGCCTTAGTCGCAAGGCCGCAAGCAAATGGTCAAGTTGAAGCTGTCAACAAAACCGTCAAGCACACTCTGAAGGCAAAACTTGGCGCAGCCAAGGGAAATTGGGCCGACGACCTCCCCGAAGTTCTATGGACATATAGCATAACTCCGAGAACCTCTACCTCTACCTCAGAAACCCCTTTTGAGCTAGCATATGGTTGCGAAGCAATGATCCCTGTGGAGGTAGGAATCGGTTCACTTCAGAGGGACCTATACAATGAAGCCGACAATGAAGCGCTTATGCGCGCAAGTCTGGACCTAGTTGAAGAACATCGCAGCAAGGCTCAGCTAAGAATAGTAGCCTATCAACAACGCGCGAAGAGGTTCTTCTACTCTAAGGTCAATAGAAGAGACTTCCAAGTCGGCGACCTTGTTTTGAATGAAGTTCTTCTCGGTACGAGAGAACCAAGCGCGGGAGTTTTAGGACCAAACTGGGAAGGTCCATACCGCATCGCGAAGGTCATAAGACCGGAGACTTATCATCTCAAATGACTGAATGGTTTCGAAGTACTCCGAGCTTGGAATGTTGAGCATCTCCGACCATATTATCAGTAATTCTGAACTCAGTTTTTCCTTGTAAAGATTTTATTTTTCGCAATCTTTGTAAATGTAAATAACAAGTGTATTATCCTGTTCTTTTGTTATAAATCCTCTCATGTAATCCTGTTCGTATAGACATGTTATAATTATGTTCGCATAGACTTGTTCTAATGTTATAAACGGTTAGAATGCAATCTCATAGGGTACAGATTGTAAGTGCTCTAGAGATTAAGAAAGATGCATTTAATTAATAAGTACAGCGAACAAGGCAAGATCCCAAAAACAAATTACAATTATCGATCCTAATTCTCGAATCCTGGAGGACCGACCTCGTCATCTCAGGGCTGGTCGCCATCCGTTTGGTCAGCTACAGGATCCTTAGGGGCATGTCCCGAAGCATCTCCCTGATCAAATCCTCGAGCGGCCTCTGCTGCTTCTCCATCCTCGCACCACGCCATGGAAATGAGAGTTTCCTGCCAATCTTCCGAGAGGTCGGACATTTCAATCTGCGGATTCTTCGGCCGCAAGGCATAGATGGACTCGATCGCCCATTCAGCAACCTTTGCCTCGATATCCTCTGCTTGGTTCTGCATCTCTTCAGTCAATGAAATAACTTTTCCCTGACTCACTTGGAGTTCGGCCTCAAGAGTCTACCTTTGCTTCTCTGAGACCTCCCTCTCCTACTCTGCTCGTAAGGCCCGTTGAGAGGTCGTTTTGAGCTCCTGATCTTTCTCGCCGACTTCCCTGGAGAGCCTGGCTATAGTTCTCTGGAGTTCCTTTATCTCCTCCCCATGCTTCTCAAGCTCGGCCTTTTGAAAATCCATCATGTGAAGAGCCGCATCCCTTTCATTCAGGTATCAGACCATCGATTCAGTGGATAGCCTCTATTTTGCTTCGGCAGCTTCCAGGTCCTGTTTGAGCTTCGTATTCTCTTCCTTCAACGCGACCTCTCCCGCAGCAGCTCCTAGCCGAACCTTTTGCAGGGATAGTTGCATGGAAAGTAGAGCCTACGAACAAGAAGAATATCAGTTTCCTACCAAGAACAAAAAGGCAGTCCTCACTAAGGACAATTCGTTTTACCTTGCCTATGTGCTGGATTGATGTGGACATCAAGTCCGCATGGTTAGAACCCACGAACTCTTCAAATACTTCTGCGAGTTCGCACTCCAACAAAGCGAAGACTGTCGACTGCAAATGATCTAGCAGTTGTCCCATCAAGTCCAACACTGGAGTATCCTCATCGGTACCCCCGGCAGGGGTGTCGCCCACTGGCTCCTTACCTGACTTCCTTCCCGTGCCTGCTACCTTGCTTTGCCGTGCTCGAGATGCTCCTGAAGCAGTGGGAATGCCTGGCTGCGACCTCCTGGGCTGAACGCCCACATCCTCTAGTTTGGATTCTGACTTTTTAACCCGAATTTCCCACCTCTTCTTGGGTCGCTGAGCCGTTGTCTTTTGCTTCGGGCGAGCAGTTGAAGGCTAGGAAGCACCCGTAGGTTAGATCGGGGCACCTGCTAAAGGTTAGGGAGTCTCCGCAGGGCGCGCTAAAGCCCCCGATGTTGCCCCTTCGGCCGGGGGACCATTGGGAGCGACTTCGATCGTCCTAGCAGTCCTCGCCCGAGGGAAAGAAAACTGCCTTCGACGTGGCGACCCTGGCATCTTCGGAGGTATGGTTGCTGTACATGAACGTCGTTAGTAAAAAATAGTTCATTGCACAATCAAAAACGATCCAGTTAATGCAACTTACTCGATGGGGGCTCTAAGGTCACGTCTACATTGAAGAAGTCGTACCTTCACAGATTCGTGTCACGAGTAGCTTTGCGTCGCGACTTGTTTCAAGCAAGAAACCGAAGGCTATGATTCTTTCTGGATCCACGAGCAGCTCCAAACTAGTCGCTTTGTTAACTGCTAGAAATAAACAGTTCATTAGTAAGAAAAACAAAGTCAATGAGTTCGTTAAGGGAAGAGAACCTACTCGAGTCCTAGAAGCGGCAGAGGTCGTCGTAACGAAAGAAGAAAAACTTCGTTTCGTAGCCCCCCGCATTGCTAGGGTAATTGTGTATCCCCGCTGCGATAGTAGGTCGCCTGGACAAGTAGTAGGAGTTTTGTCCTTGCTTTGTTTTAGGATGTACGAGCAACCGAGTTCTACTGCGGTTAGCTTGCCCAACCCGTTCTCACGACATGCGATATACATGGTAACCACAATCATGTACGCGTTCGACGTGAGTTGCATTGGTGCGATCCCGAAATGATCCAGGACCAACTTGACAAAAGGGTGGAAAGGGATCAAACCCCCCACCTTTGAAGATTTCCTCAAAGATCGCGGCCAACCCACTTGGCAGATGCCGAGCTGTGCACGTCCTATCACAGAAAGCATCCATGCGGATGTCGTATTGGTCTATCACCCTATCGAGCTCATCCTCAGTAAGTACCGAGAAGATCTCTTGGGTGGGACTCACAGGAACATCCTGCGTAGATGAACTATTGCCTTCCTCGGATCTGGTCATTGAGGGGTCCATCCTACTGTAGTCTGCAAAAGCGACAAGTAAGGAATCTTTTTAGCCCTCGTACACCATTTCATATGGTGACGTGGAGGAAAGCAAACGTTTTTCCTCCTAAATCCCAGAAAAACCCTAACAGAACGATTCGAGACGCCAGTCATGGCTCAAACCCAGCAAGAACATTTCGTCTCCGATCAACTACCGGAAAACCAATTATTTATCAACTATTGGGAGTAAGAAATAAAAACAGAAAACGATTCTTACCTCTCGGAATATGAAGATGGATCCTTCTGCTTCAAATATCAGGTACACGTTGGCTTGGAAGGCAAAGAATCCAAGTTTACGAAAGTCTCTTGCTCCCTCTGAAAAGATGTGTGGTGACATTGCCTGAAACGAACCTGGGTTTTATAGCAAAAGAACCGGCGTTTGGTTTTCCTGAAATCAAATGACGTTTGGGCTGAAAAAATGTACCTCACCATTGATGGCGACCATGTGTCGCAAATCCACGAGGAGGGGTGACCGTCACACTCCAAGAAAACCAAATTGTCGTCCTTCTCCGTTGAAAAACCCAAGCGACGACACGACTTTCCTGCCGCATTAAATGCGCCCCCATCTGCATTTAATGCTCTGATAGAGTATATCGTTTTAGCATGTCACGTATTTAATGCGCATAGCTGGCATTAATTATGCACAGGACACGTTTGTCAGAGTAGAAGGTGCTTCATTAAATATATCCCTTACGAAAATGCGCCAGGTAATGTCTGAAGAGATCATTACGTAGAACACTCTTCGTCTAGCCAGTCACGAAGCAACATGACTCCTCGGTTCTACCCCATTGGTCGCTAAACGACGTGGCTAGACGAGTATTCAGCTTCGAAACAACCCAATCCCTTGTCTAGAGAATTCCAAGTATAATCGGGTCATAAACTTCGAAAAATCAAAATCAAAAGCACCGATATGGTCTGAGATCAAGTCGTTCATCCTTAAGCGAAGACTGTATCAGATCACACACACGAAAACACAGTCACGACCTCTTCTCATACAAGTCGGGATCACCAGAGTTTCCTCAAAGGCATCTTGTCACGGCATGAATTATAGTTTCCAAGGTCCGATCCTCGCACCTTAAAAACTAGGGGACTTTTGTTATGCCTGAAAATATAGGGCTGACGCAAGACTCAGTCAGCATAAAAATTCAGAGCTTAGGTAGGCCCGTAGCCAATCAGAGACAGCCATGTCATATAGTGACAAGGGCGGCATGCTCGTGTCAAGACAATGGGTGCGCGTTAGACCAGCCATGAGCTATAGCGATTCCACGTGTCCAATCCGTGCACCAAATCGCGTAAATCACTCTAGAAGGTGGGCAATGGGACATAAAGAAGGATTTGCACAGATAATCTCACCAACTCACAGATTTAGTAATCATAACCTTAATCTATCCCACTATAAATTGAGAGCTCTTCTCTCATTTAAGGGATTAGCTACTCTCTCTAAAGAAAAAATAGCATTCTCTCTCTTGTATAATCATTTGTAAGTCAGTCCGCTAAACGCGAGCTGACCACTAGTGGACGTAGGATTTGCTTCCTTAGCATCCGAACCGCCGTTCTCTATTGTTTTTACTCATTCCTTTCACCCGCGTGTGTCTTATGGGCCAGCTCAGTATTTCACACGTGTGCTTGGTTGGTGTCAAAATCACGCATCAACAGTATCCAACCAATAAATAATCGAACCAAATGCTATGTCCACTGCGCCAATCTTTTCTCCATTGAAGAATTCATTTTCTCCTAATAAGCCATGTTCTTCAACTATTTCTAGCATTTCCAAGATTTCTTTCTTAGCTTTCTCATGTTCTTCCCCACTTGAAAATAACAATTTCCGGAGAACAAGACCCTGCAAGAATAATTTTATGTCATCAAAATTATTGATAATCATGACTACATGAAATTTTCTTTTAAAATAAACGTTCCAAGTTTAGTTTTAAAATGCACCTTGTCTTCTAAAAATCGAATCCAGAAACGAGCCACGGCTCTATCATAAGGATCAGTTGGCAGCAAGGGATTCTCTGGCCACTTCTCGTCGATGTATTCAATGATGACCATGGACTCGCAAATTGGTTTTCCACCATGAACGAGAACTGGGATCTTCTTGTGAACTGGATTATACTGCAGAAGCAATGAGCTTTTGTAGGCTAGATCTTCTTCTACATAATCAAAAGGTGTGCCCTTTAGCTTGAGAGCCCAGATCACTCTGTAACTATATGGACTAGACCACGTCCCATGAAGCTTCACTTCAGCCATATTTGAGAGATCAATCGGTTTCAACTTGACTTGACTAACCCTCAAAATTCAATGTCAATTTATAGTGATTAATAGAAAAGCTATTGGTTGAGCAGTAAGCTTCTGAATTTAATTAATCATAAAATCATAGGTTGCGTTTGTTTCAGTTTTGGGAATACTACTTTTAGTATTCCCAAAAAAGTTAAACAGTAAAATACCTAAAAACTCAGATTTTTGGGAATACTACTCCCAATATTATTCAACTTTTTTTAAACCCCTTAAATTTGATAATTTAATTAAATACCCCTAAATATTTTTTTTAAAATTACAAAAACACCCCAATAATCCACATTTACCAGATTCCGGCCACCACCACCGGAAAATGGTTTGAATCTGGTTGGATGGCGCACTACTGTTTTAATCTGGCCGGTAGTGCGCCGATCTAGCCTTTTCTAGCCAGATCCACGGTGGATCTGGCCGGAAAAGGCCAGATCTAAGGCCAAAGATCTGGCCGTTGACGGCCAGATCTTTGGCCGTAACAATCGGTCACGACGGCCAAACAAACGGTCGTCGTTGACCAACGACGACGACCGTTTGTTGGCCGTCGTTGAGAGCATCAACGGCCAGATCTGGCGGTTGACAGCCAGATCTGGCCGTAGATATGGCCTTTGCCGGCCAGATCCACCGTGGATCTGGCCGGAAAAGGCCATATCGGCGCATGACCGGCAAGATCCAGCCGGTCATGCGCCCATAAGACGACTCCGGCCACCTCCGGTGGTGGTGGCCGACTGGGGGTGTTTGAGGGTTGGTTAGGGGTATTTTTGTTAACTTTTAATGTTTTATTATAGGGGGTATTTTGTAAAAAAACAAATATATGGGATATTTTATTAATTTATAAATTCTACATCGTAATACCCACCCAATTCAACTTTTTTTTAACTTTTTTCAAAAAACTTTTCCCAAAACCCAAAAATTTTGAACCAAACGGAGCCATAGTTTTCGTTTCTAAGAGTTGTTCGGATAACTTTTAATATTTAAATTTGATTCAGTTCAATTATAGCAGCTACATTTGCTGGTGCACGTGCTAATTAATTGGTACACATGCAACTCTGTCTTATTTTCTTGACATAGGGCATGGGAGAAATTTACATTTTGCTTCAATGTATTTGTATTTAAGATAAGAATATTTGGAATTATAAACTTGGTTAATTTTTTTTTTCTTATTTCAATAGGAATTTTATTATTTGAATAAAAAAGTAAACCTTTGATTTTGAAAATAAACATATTTTAATTTTATAGAGAGATGCATGCATCATGTCCCACGTATGTACGAAATTGAATTAAAGCATTTACAATTTGTCTTTGCCTTTAAAATTCTTTTGGATAATAATCATAATTATTGATTAAAAAATAAGTATATTATGTTACTATAATTATTGATTAATAAATAAACTTTGATCAAATTGACCAATCCCATGTGCAGATTAAGATTACATCTTTACAGAGTGGTGAGATCATCAATTAGGTCAGATTCTCATTAATTATATGTATTCCAATGTAGTTTTTCGTCATGCATGATGCTTAATTATTTATATTTCTATCAAGTAGCTAGGGGTTCCTTCTGTATATCTGGTCGGCTGGTCCTGGTATTGTTTCTTTTTCCAATGTAAATTTCTTTTGGGCTCTAGTTTGAAACAATAGCCCAACATTAATTTTAATCCAATCCTTCACATTTACGTTGCTGATCGGTAGCACCCAATTAATTGACTGATAGATGATGATGGCAAGAAAATAAATAAGGTTTCTGACTTTTTATTTAGATATTTGCTTGTTTATTGCATAATTGTAGATGTCAAAATTATTACAAATAATTCAATATTTTGATTTTTCTTAAATCTATCATCATTTATTTTTTACACTATAAATTAATTAATGTGTCAACTAGAAAAGTGAATAATTTATTTATTTTTATTTGATTTTTAGTATAATTTGATCCAACTTAAAAATAAAATCAATACATTTTTAATTTTTCACACATTAAATTTAAAATTTATCCTCATAAATTTGTCTTTTGTATTATATTCAATAAACTTTTTTTTTTTAATTCTGGGACAAAAATCGACTTTCCCTTATGGGCCCCCACGTGTCATTGAGTAACCAGAATTTGGGAAAGGACTGTAGATCGCCTAGTGAGGAGCTTATCCATGCTAAGAACAAGCAACTGCTTGAAACATGGTTGCCTATAGCGACCACAATGCTACTAACCTACTCGCACCCCATCGTAAACCATAGGTCATGGAGTCTCGCCAGGCGAGGTAACAGGAGATCAAGTTGTTTCGCCTAGGGTCCCCTTTCTAAAAATCCATGGCCAGATAGTAGCTCTTAAATTGCCCACGTGTACGGTAAAAAGTTAACCATAGTTAGGGTTTTATTAAGAGATTGTCCATACGATTCATGAATTAGTTGAAAGAATGCACGACAAAACCCTAAAAATGGTTATTAAGGGAACACATATCAAAACCTCATAAGTTCAGATGTCAAAAGATTAGAAAAACCCTAAGGGTCTGCTTGGGAGTTTTGTTTTCACTGGTTTTGGAGGTTTTTTAATTAGACTGGTTTTGAGGTGTTTAAAAACCCCCACTTGCCAGATTTTTAATAGGCTGGTTTTGACTGGTTTAAACACCCCCCAAAACCAGTATAGTGTATTTTTGAGGGGTTTATAAAACACCCCAAATCGGAGTGTTTTAACTGGTTTAAAACTTTTATTCCAAAAAAACCCCTTTTCACTCCTTTTGCTGCACACAAATCTATCGTTGCTGTTCACTTCTCTCTAGCACACAAATCTCTCAAATCTGTAGTTGTTGTTCACTTCTCTCTAGCACATAAATCTCTTGTTGTTGCACACGAAGTAAGTGAATGGTTTTAATTTGCTGCACACAAATCCCTTTGTTGCACACAACTCGTTTGAGTTTAATTATATTTGGCATCAACCTTTCCTTTCTTTCTGTTCTCTATGAATACAAGAGATAATGAGCCAAGAATTTTGGCCGCCACTTCTGCAACTGCAAGACCAGTAGCCCTCTAATAACTGTAAAAGTGGGGAGAAGATGGTACAATTAGCATTAATGGTGCACTCTTCTTCTTGTTAATAAACTGGGAAATTAAAAGATTAACTTGTTGAGAGGATCTTTACATGTGCTGAGTAACATTAAAACTGTCTTGTCTTTGTTTAGATTAACTATTGAAGTGGTGGAAGTGAAAGTTAATTTATGTGGCCTGAAAGATAAATAATTCAAATAATATTTTATAATACAAGTTTCACATTCTCTCATTCCCATTAAATACATTATCATTCACAAGTATTTGCGCATGCTAATTTATCTGTGATAGGGAGTCTGGTTAAACATGGTTTACGAGATCTGATGCAAATTTGAAGCGAGAGATTAACTCGTTTTCAATGACGCAAAAAGAGAGAAGTCAATTATATATATATATATCCAGAAACTTGAGCATACAATTGAAAAGAGTCGCACCATTTTCAACGCCTCTCAAGCAAACCACAACTTTGTAATGACACCTTTTTTTCACAAGATTGAGTAGCTAAAAACATGCAAGTCAAATTTATAACTTCAAAGTTAATTAAGTAAAAAAGAGAGTATTTTAATTTTATGGACATTTATGTAAATTTATCATTTAAAAAAATTGTTAGAACCGTTAGAAAATAAACTCCCAAGCACAGGTTGGATGTTTTAAAAACCGCTACTAAAAACCCTTCAAAACCGTTACGGTAGTTTATCCTCAAAACCGCTACGATGGTTTACCCTTATACCGGCTACCCTAAAACTCCCAAACAGACCCTAATAGTATATACGTAAAGAAGTCTCTCCACCGAAGGTAAGTTCTCTCATTTATGCGGCTCTTACTTTGAGAAAGCGAGTAATTGCCTTAGTTAGTTAGTTATAATATTTTTTCTCCAGGAATTAAGGGAGACGACATTGATTCCTGGGGCAAAGGTCTTGCTCTGTTTTTTGTTTTCCCAACTCAACAAAGAGCATCCTCCACTCTTTCTTCTACTGACTTAAGCGTAGGCGAGCTAATCCACATCAACAAACCCTATTTGACAGCTGAGCTTTGATCGTTTTTCTTTCGTTTTCAATGGGAAGGTGTTTACTCACCGAAACAATAACTTGACCTTTTTTTATTTCTATTCACTAGTTAATCTTCAATCAGAAATCTAAGCATTAACATTTTCTATTTTCATTTTCATATCTAATTTTTAGATAATAAAAATTATGCATTTTCAAAATTTAAAAACAACAAATCAAACTTATTATTTTTACTTTTTAAATTCATATTTAGAAATGTTGATGCGTGATTTTGACACCAACGACCTACATGTGCAAAACGCTAAGCTGTTCTTAGAATTTACATGTGATATGATTGATTTAAAAGTTAATCAGTATAATCGAATATAAAAACTAAATAATAAATGAGAGAGATAATTTTTAAAGTGGTTCAGATGCTTAAAACGGTTCTTACGTCCACTGTTTCTTTTATATATGAGAATTTACAAGAGGTCGTGTAGGTACAATAACTGAGTATTCAAAGAGAATATCAAGTCAGTATCTTTCTCGTAAGTTATCATTGCTCTGAAAATAAAGATTGTAATCAGAATCTGAATCTCGAAAAAGAGAGAGACAGCCATTTATTTATAGTAGCTGAATTCAAGGTAATAATTACAAATATACAAGTGGATAGGTGTCGTGCAAGTCCTTCCTTACCTCCCGTTGACAGATAACCTAGGAAATATCCTTAAATTATATGAGGTTTGGACATGTGTATGGTCCTTAGTCACTTATAGACAAAACCTGAATTTGCTAAGTTGATGATAGTCATATTCTTTCTATCTTGGAGCGACTTGACAGCTCCTGAACGGCGCAAAGCCTTTCTAAACTCTGATTGGTACTTACTGATGTAAGCTTATGTCAGCCCTAATTTTTTAGCCATAACAAGAAACAAAA